CAAAAAAAAAAAAAACATTTCAACTCTAATAAATTATTAAATGTAATTTTTTAATTATAAATTTTAAGATAATTGATTTTTTGAATACATTTTATTTTTTTAATTAGAATAAAATTGTAAGTGTCTAACAACTAGGCCAGTGTGAATAACTGGGTCTTTTACGTTAATAAATTTGTGTTTGATTAAGTTAAATTGAAAAACATATATTTATAAATTTATCAGTTCTTCTGTTTCTTGAATTATTTTTTACAATTCAATATCATTATTTTTAATGTCTATTATATATTATATATTATTATATATAAAATAATATTTAGTTGACCTTGAGTTTTTTGTATGTTGTTGAGAAAAAATATGGTCAGAAATCAAAAAAGTAATTCAAAATAATGTTAAGTTTATGAAATTAGAAAATTAGATTATTGACAAAACAAAATGAATTGAAAACTTGGTATTGCATTTTTCACAGTACGCGAGCGTGTTTTATTTTCATCAATATTGAGCCGTAAGATTTTCCAATTTTTGAACTATGAATAGTTTTCTAGTTGCCTACCACAATTTTCTAATCTTATTTTAAATAAATAATCAAAAAATTAAAATGTGCAATTAACTTCTGTATAAATTTTTTTAGAAAAAAATATTTTCATAAATGTGAGTAATTTTCTACAATTCAATATCTTCAAGTTTAATTCTATCTTATATACTATCACATGTTAAGGAATATTTAAAACTTGTTCGATTTTAGTAGATGGCTTCGTAAAATAAGATTCTGGTATTTTTAAATTATTTATTTTATAGATTAACGATAAAAAAGATGGTCAAAAATCAAAAGAGTAATTTTTTAAAAAGTCAAGCTTACAAAATTGATTTATTCCAGTGAAATCATTAATTATTCTTTTAATAATTAAAATTAAAAGTATTGAGAATTGTTGCTAAAAAAAATGTGGTCTAACTTTTTTTTTTATTTTTGAATTATTCTAATTAAGATTATGTTGGTAAAATTTTTATTATATAATAATTGATACTTTTGTTTGTAGAATATAATAAAAAGCAACACTCAAAAAGTCCTAAATTTTTTTTCTTCAATAAAAACAGTACCAAAACATGAATGATTTATAATTTAGTGTTTGTGTTTATGAGAAAATTAAAAATATAAAGTGAATTTATTTTGTTTAATATGCTTTCTAAACTTGTTTCAGTTGATGTTTTTGAGTAAGAAGTATAAAGTACAACATTAAACTCTAATTATAATTAAGTATCAATATATTTTTGATTTTTTAACAAGTATATTGTGATAAAAAAAAATACTTTAAGAATTAATTAATAATTAATATTGTCAACCAGCAAGCATCTAAAAATTTCATGAGGTTTTTTTTAACTAGTATATTACTATTAAAAGAATATTTCAAGTTTATTTGTGTGATTACATAATTTTTTTTTTTAAATTATTTATTTACTGAGAAAAACAAATAAAAGTTTTTCGATTTTTGCTTTGAGTAGCATTAATTACAAATTTATTATGATTGCACTACCGGATTAAAAATAACAAAATAAAGTGGATAATACATGTTATAAGCGAAAGTACACAAAAATATTAATCAATAAAGAAATATATAATAAAATGTACGTATGGAACAATGATAATGAAGATTAAAATTCTTCTTTTAACTACTAATTCTCATAATAACAATTGATAATAAATGAAATATACATATGCCAAGGCTATGGTATTAAATTATGTACATAAGTGTGTTGATCTGAAACATAGAAAACGTAGGTAGTTATTTTTCCATGAATAACTAAGTAAATATATTTATTTTATTAGTGAAGAAGCTTAACTATACCTTGCTATTCACTTGACACTGGCGATCATTGTTACTATAGTTGTTAACAACCCTGGATTTATTTTTTCTAATTCTTTAAATTCGGGAGTTTTAATAACTGTTTTGGAATTAAGGGCGATGAATCTTAGAACATTGTCGAAAAATTTCTTATCAGCGTGATGGCGGTCCAGCAGAACAAGATATTTAACAGCATTTTCAACTGTCACGCCTCTACAAAAAGAATCTTCACAAAGTTTCTTAAGAGTTGTAAGCTGATGCTTAACGGCTTGTTCATATAAACGCTCAGCAATTTCATCAAGACCAGTTACATTCTCAGTATAAATATATTCCAACAATTTTTCACAAACTTCTGGATCCATATCAGGAAGAGTTATTTCATTTCCTCCTTTTATTTTCAGTTGATATGAGAACTCAGCTGCAAACACTGGACTGCAAGTAGTCAAAATTAGCTTGTGCGCAAGAATTTTAGTTTTTTTGTCACCAACGAGGAGAACTACATCGCTACCAGCCTTACTCTCAAAAATATCTTTTAATTCACGTATTATTTGATTCCTTGGAGTTTTAAATTGACTTTCAATTCGATCTGAATTAGTGCGGATGAATCCAGTAACTTCAACACCAATTGTTAAATGATTGTTAGGTAGAAATTTATCTTTCATTTCTAATAATTTAGATATTTCAACTAATCTTGGTATACGCAATTCATCAGGTTTTTTAATTATGATTTTGTCAAATGTTTGAATAAAGTGTTTTTTATTTACATTATCCAAAATATATAGTGAATATTTAGTATCTGCATAATATTTTATGTTTGGACTTAAAGTTATTGATATCCATCCTTGATTCACCGATTCTCTACCATTAAAACCCAATTTCAAAATCCGAATTCTATGATCCTTTGAATTCTCAACAGGATCTCGAAAATTCAAATTAAGAGTATCAGGGTCTTTAGCATAGCTGTACAGATCAATCAATGAAAAAAAATCCATTATTTTCCATTGGTAAATTAATTTCTGTTTTTCAACCAAATTATAATGTTGTGTTACTTTCAAATTTTGCATGTTGAGTCGAATTGGACGAATAATTTTGAATAACTAGTCAACTTATATATAGATCCTCTTAAATTGAATCTGTAAAAATGAAATTATTTACATCACTATTACAAAAGCTTAAAATACGAAAATAAATATGAGACTGATATCAGCAAACATCTGACAGTTCTTTTTTTTTTTTTTACAAATCAAGTAAGGTAAAAGACCCAGTTGTTGACACTGACCTAGTTGTTGACACTGACCTAGTTGTTTGACACTTGCAATTTTATTCCAATTGAAAAAATAAAATTTTCTCAAAAAGTCAATTCTCGTAAAATTTATAATTGAAAAATTTTATTTAGTAATTTATTAGAGCTGATTTATTTTTTTTTTATTAGAATAAAATTGCAAATGTCAATAACTAGACCAGTGTCAATAACTGGGTCTTTTAACTTATAAAAAAAAAAAATTTGCACTTGTAATTTTTTGTAATTACTAAATTTGGAAGTTTTTAAATTTAATTATTTCATAATGATTTAGTTGATTTAAAAATAAAAAAAAAATAGATGTCCGTTTATTTTACTATCAATAAAATAAATAAGTAGCAAAATTTTACCAAAATGTAGATAAGCTGCAGTGCGTATCCGGTCCGGCGATCGTTCACTTTTCGAAACTAAAGAAGCAAATGCAAGCTATTCTTTTATATAACAATGTTCTCTCGATGTGTTGTATTATTTTTTTATCAACTGGAAATACTTGTTCTCTGTAATATAAGTACATAAACACAGCTGATGAACAGGCTGTAAATAAATAACTAATTTGTGACGATGTGACGATTGTATGTAAGTACCAACATAAGCTTAAACTTTAGTCACAATAAATCATTTTCAATCACTAATTCTCAATTTTAGGTTTTACAGTCGGCAATATAGAAAGTGTTGGTACGCAATCGTGGAATATATATAATATCTTGTTGTGATGATCGTAGAAAAACAACTCCAATAAATTTTATCAATAATTAGTTATATACAAATTTTAATCTGGATATAAAAAATATAATAATAAGATACCGACCAGAAGAATAATGCCGATTGACAGTGAAAAAAGTTTCGGTAGTAAAAAAGAGGCTGGAGGTTATTCCCATTCAGAAAAGCACTCAATTGTTTACACATGGAAAATTGATGAGATAATTCAATTTTTTAATTCTGCCAAAAGCTCAAAAGAAGATGTCGTATTAAAGTCTCCGAAGTTTACAACGGGATCAAAAATAAAAGATTTGTGGTTTCTACAGATTGAAATAAGAAAAAGTAATGAACCATCGAAGAATAAATCACTGCTGTCTTTATTTCTATTCCCAGATCATAGAGATCAGAAAGTCTGGACTAGGTACATGTTTTTCGTTGTTAATAATAAAAAGGAAAAAATCGGAAAGGACTTCAAAGTTTATGATCAATCATCAAGCTTATGGCTTGATAAACTGTTTGATAGTTCTGATGGCTGGGGTTATTCTGACTTTGCGAGAATAAAAGAGTTATTAGAAAAAAAAAATGAACTTCTTGCATCAAATGATACTTTAACAGTAGGTGTTGATTTAACTGTCTATGAAACACACGTGACTACAAATAATAAAATCAAGCCGTGGAAGTATTCTGGGCCGAGATTGTCTGACGACTTTAGAGATCTTTTTGTTACTAAGAAGAAATGTGATGTCATTATCAAAGTCGGAGAAGAAAAGTTTGATGCGCATAAACTTATTTTAATCTCCCGAAGCTGTGTGTTTGAAGCTATGTTCTCGTATGACATGAAAGAGAACAAAGAAAATCAAGTAACAATACCAGACATTATTCCTGAAATCTTCAAAAAAGTTCTTGATTTTATTTATACAGACAAAGTCAATGACATAAATAGTTCCGTTGAAGAACTTCTGGAAGCGGCTGACAAATATCAACTTCAGAGGCTCAAAGAAATGTGTGAACATTCTCTTTCTAAAATTTTAACGGATACAAATGCGATACGAATTATGATTCCGGCAGATCTTCACAATGCAACACAATATTGCTAATAATAAAAAAAAACCCTTGATTTTACGAAAAAGCGAGAATTATCCTTCTCTTGAAGTGAATTTTAGATTGAAGTAGAAGAGCTAAAAATACAATTATGATCATAATTTACGGAGAAGAAAGGATAAAAGTAGTGAGTTTTTTGTGACCAGCCACTATTTCTTTTATATTTATTTTATTATAATATTAATTTACTTATTGATCTTAAAGAAATTTTATTTTTTCCGGTTGTGATTTACGATTTTTTTAGTATACTTATTGCTATATCTCCTTTGTGACAACTAATAGTCAAAGGGTCCCTTTGAGTCTTCATATCAAATATTGAACGTAATAACATATATATGGGCGGCAAATCCGTTGCGTACTTAACAAGTACATTGTATCTTCTTTCAGTGTCTACAATTTGAACTTTTGCGCACTCGACATAAGAATCACCTCTGGTTTTCGCTCCTCTGGTTCTTCTTTCAGCGACTAATTTGTTCCAGCCATCTTCGACTAATTTAACCACATATGGACCTTCTTTACTTAATTTTAATTTATATAAATCATTTTTTTCTTCACAATTAAAATTATTTGTTCAAAAAGACAAAGACAGGCTTGCTGTTGAAATTACCAATATTAAAAATAATTTACGAATTTTTATTTTATTGTTTATTGCCGGTGACTTTTAAATCGAAGAACTGAAGGTTGATGGAAAAAAAATCCTTTATATATAGAAATAAATTTATCTTTTAGATAATTCTTAAATCGATTATTGGTTAATTTTTTTTTCTTCATCTTTAAATAAGATTGATATTAATTATTAAAGTAATTATTAAAAAAATTCAAACACCACACTGATAGAAAAAATTACTTGATTCAAGAAAAATTTTTTCTTCAAAATGTCATTTTTGTTTTAAGTATACATCAAGAAAAAAAGGAGTTTATTGATAACGAACATGGTGTAAAACCTCTTAATCGGACAGATATTTTTGGGGCAATTGGTCGTCTTCAAGAAAATCCTATTTATAGAAATTCAATTCAAACCGTGGGAAAATCACCATTTTATACAAATAGAAGATTCTCTAAAATGGAGTTAGACAATTTACTAATTAGAACGTCGATATATGAAAATATTTTCTTTTATGTTCGCTGAAAATCAAGTACATCTAACAACGATACCACTATGTTTAAAGAAAACAATAAATTTTTATTAAAAAATATGACATAACAGGAATATTAGGGTATAGTTTTTATGGAGTAAATAATAAAATTAAGAATTGAAAAAAAAAAAAAAGATTTTATACTCTGGATATTTTTATTATAAAAGTGTTAAAAGTCAATATTAAACACAATAACTGTTTACAACAGTTTTAAAGATAATGTACTGATACACTTATACAAAATTTGATTTTATTGATAATTTTAATCAAATTTAATTGTTATTTGTTATTATTAACTATTATTATAATACAAACTATTCATAATCGATAATTATTAAATTATGATTTACAATTTAATAAATTTTTATCTTATTAGTTAATTTTCTTTTTAAAAAATACAAACATTTTATATTTATATCCCAGAAACTAGAATTACAAAACAAAGTATCTCAAATTTACATAAGTTGTTAAATTTGATATCTTCTTACTTCTTTTCAATGTATTATTACAATAATAGGAGATACGCTTAATTTATACTTTTATCACTTTAACAAATTCAAAAATTCTGAATGTGTTCAATTTAAAATTTAATTAATCAATTATTGATTAACAAAAAATATTTATATTAATATCTAATGATTGCGATATTTTTGAATCAGTACTTTCAATTGTGAAGATTAAAATTATTTTATACATTTGATTCTCAAACTTGTTATAAAAGTCTAATAATTTTTAAAAAGTAACAAGTATTTCACTTTGACTAACACTGATAGTTTAATTACAATTTCCCTCAAAAATATTGAAAAATTTCATCAGTTATTAATTATTTTAATATTTGAATTAATTGATTTAATTATAAATTTAAATAAATTTCTTTTAATTATAAGTAGGATTTTAAATATCGGCTAGAAAGTAACTTTCATTTCAGAATCAATAATAGCCATCAAATCGTCAATATTAGTATATTTTTCTGGAGTAATCGAACGAGAAGGTGAATCAGAATAATTTACCTCAACATTGTACTCTGTCATAAAGTTATTTTGATTGACGGTAGAATGACAATAATTGTGAATAATGTTATTATTATTTTCAAGATTATTTTGAACCGAGCGTTTTACGTCAAATTGATGTATTTGCTCATTATGGTTATAATATTGTTGATAACTACGGTAGCTATAATCATCAAAGTTGCTGCTCGCAGTAGATGACTTTTCGTTACTATTATAATAGATATTGCTACCGTAGTTCTGATATTGAATTACGTCGGTCCGATACTGATTGTAGGTGTTCCAATCTTGAAATTGAGGGTAGTTACCGCTTTCTGATGAACAGTTATTGGAGTTCGTGGGACGCACGTGGTTTTTTACTGGACATTCAATTGGAGCAGGAACCGAGTTGTATTGAACGTTGTACGTCGGGTACGTTGAGTCTTGAACATGGTTGACCACCATATTCGTTTTGTCACATACTCCTAAGTAGCTTCCCAACACGTGATCGCTGTCCTGGACTCTTTTTTTGGATCCAATTTTTTTATCCTTCGTACGACGGTTTTGAAACCACACTTTGATCTGTAACCAAAACAATATTATGAACTTGTGAGATGAAATGTATGTGGCATCAAACTATTCGTAACGTGATTGGTCGAATATATCATAAGCATGAAAATATATGTAAGCTCTATAGTCAGGCGCGCACTTGCGCGCATAAATTTAAATTCTAGTAACAATAAAAACATATATATAATCAATGATTGTGAAAATAATAATAACAATAAAAATTATAATTATAAAGGGAAAAACTACACTTAATTTTTTTTTATGATTTTTTTTGAGGAGTGGGCCGTCATGCCCCGCAAAAAAAAATTTTTTTTTTGATTCTCTGCTAAATTTCAACTGATTTATTCAAAATAGACAGAAAATAAAAAAAATTAATGATTAGAAACCACAAAAAGAAATAAGCAGCTCAAGTAAGCCGTTGTGCCCCACCCTTCCCTACTTAGTTATTATTTAATATTTTTAATTATTACACTAATATAACTGATGATAAATTTGACTGTAAGAAAAAATGTTTTCAAAAGGCAACGAAAAGCTGTTCATGAATATAATATGACTTTGAAGAAAATAAAAATTTGTAATATTATGTTTCAGGCAGTTATTAATTTATTATCAATCAGTATTCAACGTTAGTCTTTTGTCTTAATAAAGTCTCTGGAAAAAATGATTACGAGTTTATTACTTACTTTCTGTGAGAAATATCATTGCTATGTTTTGTTTTGAAACATTAAAATTTTATTTATGAAGTTTATATTACATTTAAACAGTTTCGAGTGAATCTTATTTTTCGAATTTGAGCTTTAAAATTTAACATACATGTATACAAAAATCCTTTACTAATGTATTCTCGAAATTTCAAATCGATATACCATCTAGTTTTCTTCATAGAAAAATATATCAATTAAGGGTCGTTTTGCACGTCGCTATAACGTATTAAATGCTTGCGGCTGAGTAATAATGTTGACATACATGGAAAGAACAACTGGCTATCATATCCTGGGTTATATTGAGTAACATCTAAAATCAAAAAAAAATTTCATTGTTCTCAGTATAATTTAGATAATTGTCAGTTACATTTGGATTAAAATAAGTTGAAATCTCAGATGTAACTCAAGTACACGCCACCATTTTTTTTCTAGCGCTTGCGCGTGTACTAATGTTAACATTTCGTGAATTATATATGTAGTCAATAATGGTTGAACACTAAAAATGTATAGTCGTTGTATATTTTTATTATTGTATTAACAATTTTATTCTGAACGATAATATATTTTTTGTTCCTTAAATATTTTCTGTTCTAATAAAAATTACATATAACAGTATTTAACTACTTTATATTTAAAATACGATGTAGGCATGATAATGCTGAATGAGCAAGCGCTGAAAAAGAAATGGAGTTAGATCTGAGGTATATAACTGAATATAATTGATATGCAAGTTTAAATTATGAATAAAAAAATATGTTAATCAAGTAAATTACCCTCAAAATATTTTTCCAGATATTAGCAGATTTTTGTCTCGACGTAATGAAACTTTTTAATTAATATAATTTTTTTTTTTTTTAAATATTTATTTAATGACTTAATTTTTATGTACATTCTTTCTCAATGGATACTTTTTGTAAATACAATATTGTTTACAATTACAATACTATGCCTATTTGGCTAACTTGCATAATATATAGTTCAATGTATTGACATAATAGTTTAAGAACAGTATGATTTAGTTTATGGATTTTACAGAAAAAGTTTACAAAAAACCTGCATATGATATAGTTAAAAATAAAAATTTCTGTCTCAACGATATGAAACAGCGGTAATTTTAGATTATTAACTATAAAACTAATCATAATTAAATAAAATATTAAAAAATCAGAGAAAAAACAATTAAATATAATCATACGTTTTGCTTGTAAAATTATTAAATTGAAAAAAAATTATGTTTACTATATCGTGCTTGATTTTTTTAGTTCATCTCGTGGTGTATTTTTATATCGCTTATTGTACTGAATAAAAAAAAAATGTACGGAATTTTAATTTGAATTTTGAATATTAAAAAGTCTTCGAAAAAATCTCAAGTAATGCACTAATAAATTAAAAAAAGTTATATGAGCGACCTTTCAAAATTTAAATTTTGAACTGCAACTTTCAGAAACTTATTTTTTTTGGTTTATAAAATTATACCGTAGCGAGAAAAAAAAATTAAAAGAAAAAAATTCGATTCTTGACGATTTTCGAAATTAAAAAAAATTTGGAGCGACCTCTTAAAAATTTTTTTTGAGCTGTCCTTTAGAGAGGGCTCTTAAAACATCAAAACCTAACATTTTTTCACTCGAGACTCAAAAAAAAAATAGTCGTTTTTTTTGCGCTACCCTAATATATATTTACTCCGTACGCGGAGCGTTTAGTTACTTCACTCCGGTACTCCGAGTGATGGGAGTGAATACGGAGTAAAATTAATTCTCAATTTACTCCGGACTTTTTATACAACATACATTTTTTTCATTAAATGACTAATAATTATGGGTTATTAAATTTTCTATGCACCATAATTATGAATAAAAATAATAAATAAATTATAAAACTATTCAGAAGAACCTTGATAAAACAAAAGTATTGAGACAAAGAAAAAAATATTGAAAAGTATTGGTCTTCTAGTCAATCCAATACTTTTCAATACTTTTTCCTTTGTTTCAATACTTTTTTTTATTCAATTAATTGAAAACATTGCAAAATTTAATATTTCGCCTCATCAGTTATGCTTGAACTTCCCTAAATAATCGATTATTTGAAATATTATTTACCATTTTCTTCTCTCAATAGCGAAATTCAATTGAAAGTATGCATACAATATCTCTTCTTAACGATAACCTCAGCTATATAATCACTTAATGGCAAATTTCAAAAGATGTTAAAGCTAAACGAAAAATTGCATTTGGTAATTTTTGAAAAGATGACGATTTATTCGTAAATCTAAAACGACGTTATTATCAGTTAATCTGTCTAGGCGGCACACTAATACAATGAGACGATGAGTTGTAAAATTTGAAAATGCATACGTCAGACCATAAACGCTTCGTAAAATCAACGCGCCGGCACTCAAAATGAGCCAGCATAAATTATCTTTTGCTAGCACGTGCTATTGTCACTGATCCTAGGCGACAAACTCCTGCTGAGACTTCACACTTTAGCTAAACAAAAGAGCTTTTAGTTTAACAACTTATATTGACCTGATACGTTTGCTAAATAGAATTTAACTGTAAGGCTCGGTAACTGCAGTTGGAAACTTATTGTATTAACTTAGTAACAAGGACCAGATTTGGAATATTTCAAAGTAAGAGTAATACATAAAACTAATAAATAATTTTTGCATTGAAACTCTCTTATAAAAATATAAGCTAAGCCATGAAATAAGTGAAAAATAATGTTTTTATAAGATCAGATAGTAGTAGATAAATTTACTTTGATAAAATTTACTCTGAGTCTCAGTTCTGATATTCACGTACTGAACATTTATATGAACATACACATCTAATTTTTTGTTAAAAATAGTTTTTTGAAAAATATTTACTTTCTTTTTTAAACACTCATTTTCTTTGGGGTACTAAATTTACTGAAACTTGTTTAGATAAAAAGCTGTAATTAGCGGATGTTAAATAAGAAGAAATTTTTAGATAAATACTATAGTGTATGGTTCAAGTCCTTTTGGTCAAGTATATATGGTTCAAGTATCACTTTTTATAAAAACTATAGTTTCAAACAGTAAAAAGTACTAAGTCAATATTTATAATTAAGTTTTTAACGTTGCGATTAAAATTTACTATTTCACTTAATACATATAAAGGTTGGCATCTTTAAATTTTAATCTCTTACTATTAAAACTTAGTAAGATTTCTTGATAATTTTGGTATTTCACAATATAATCTTAGAGTACAAACGATAAACATTGATGTTAGAATTATTAATTATTGTACGTTAACATTTAAACATTCACATAGCTTTAATTACAATTAAAAACAGTATTTATTATTATTCAAATCGTATTTATTATTATTCAAATAGTATTTATTATAAATTGATTATTTCTTATTTTAGTGTAGTTTTTCCCTTTATAATTATAATTTTTATGCTTGTTATTATTTTCACAATCATTGATTATATATATGTTTTTATTGTTACCAGAATTTAAATTTGCGCGTGCAAGTGCGCGCCTGACTATAGAGTTTACATATATTTTCATGCTTATGATATATTCGACCAATCACGTTACGAATAGTTTGATGCCACATACATTTCATCTCTATTTTATATTAGGATTAATTAATTAATAATTATCAATATCATGGTGAATATTTTCACTACCTGATTAAATTATCAACAATTTCAATACGGCTGTTACAATTTCTCATAAAATAAAATTTGAAATTTTGAAATAGTATGTCTTTTCTGATTGGGCCATTTTTAGGGCTACTTCAGCGCCACTCATCGGCATTTTCCATTTAATTTTATCTAGCAATACTGGATGCGGTATCATTAGTTCCTTGGCATCCTTCGAACTATTCACCTCGTAGAAAATAGTGCTTGTGAACTGTTGAATACACGTAAATAAAAATTTCTGTATTTCACTTTCCGATTTTAAATAATTGTTAAAAAAAACGCAACGCAAAATGTCTTCTTCATACGTCAATCTTGAAAATGAAGAGCTTTTTTGGCATAGCTTTGAATCACTCCATCCGGATGTTTTTTCAACGCTATCATCCCAGTTACTGCTGACTCCTGAAAGCATATCAACAGAAGAACCAATCATCGTGCAGAGTCATAATTCCGCAAGTGACATAAATACACACCAGTCTGTTGAGAAGACCGAGATGTTGAACAAAAAAACATCTAATTCAAAACGCAGAGCAAGAACAGCGTTCACCAACAATCAACTTCTTCATATGGAGCAAATATATGCGCAGAATAAGTACTTGTGTCTTGAAGAAAGGAATAATGTTGCCGAATCACTAGGTCTTACTGAAAAACAGGTATTTACAATAAATATTATTAATAATAGATTTTATTTATTTATTTTTTTAATTTCACTATACTTAATTAATTATTGAATACAAGTTCATAATATTGTTTTGGTTACAGATCAAAGTGTGGTTTCAAAACCGTCGTACGAAGGATAAAAAAATTGGATCCAAAAAAAGAGTCCAGGACAGCGATCACGTGTTGGGAAGCTACTTAGGAGTATGTGACAAAACGAATATGGTGGTCAACCATGTTCAAGACTCAACGTACCCGACGTACAACGTTCAATACAACTCGGTTCCTGCTCCAATTGAATGTCCAGTAAAAAACCACGTGCGTCCCACGAACTCCAATAACTGTTCATCAGAAAGCGGTAACTACCCTCAATTTCAAGATTGGAACACCTACAATCAGTACCAGACCAACGTAATTCAATATCAGAACTACGGTAGCAATATCTATTATAATAGTAACGAAAAGTCATCTACTGCGAG